CTTCTTTTCCCCCCCCCCCCCCCTCCCCCCCCCCACCCCCCCCCCCCCCCCCCCCACCCCGTGGCTTCCTAGGAGGAAAGATGTTCTGTTCTCCTTGGCTTGTCCTCAAAACCCAGTCACAAAAGGTGGATAAGCTGAATAAGTTCAGGCTCAGGGCCTTCGAATGCAGCCCTCACCTCAGAGTTTCTCAAGAGAAATCAAGTCCCAGGACCATGGAATATCAGAGGAGCGAGGAAAGGAAATCCATTTTTCATTCAGTGAGTATATTCAGAGTATGTCCACCTGTGTCAGAAAGTGAAACCTACCGCTTGCTGCCTGGCGTCGCCCCTCGGCTCCTCACCAAGCTGGCTTATATCTGAGCCCCACAGCCCAGCCTCCACCTCTGCACCGGGAGGGCCGCCTAGCAGGCAGTCCTCAGGGCGCCCACTGTTGAGCCTGGTGCCCTTTCCTCTGTTCTTGCCCTCACTTCCTCTTACAACATGGAACACCTGATCTCACTCTGCCACCACCTTTCTCCTCCTTCGGCTTCCTGGGTGTTTACACTCTTCTGTCATCCTCTCATCTTCCTTCTCAGTCTCTGCTTCTTATCTCCTAATATGAGCTGAATTGTTCCCCCCCTCAAATTCATATGTTGAAGTCCGAACCTCCAATACCTCAGAATGTGACCATATTTGGAGATAGAGTCTTTAAAGAAGTAATGATGTTAAAATGAGGTCATGAGAGTGGGCCCTAATCCAATGTGACTGGTGTCCTTATAACAAGAGGAAATTAGGACATACACAGAGGGGAGACCATGTAAAGACATGGGGAGAAGACGGCCATCTATAAGCCAAAGAGAGAGGACTCAGAAGAAACCAATCCTGCCAACATCTTCATCTCAAACTTCTAGCCTCCAGAATTGTTGGAAAATAAAGTTCTGTTGTTTAATCCACTTAGTCTATGGTACCTTGTTTATGGAGCCCTAGCAAACAAAGTAATAATCCCCTGAACACAGTCATTACTCCAAAGACTGTATCCTCCTCTATTTGTCCACCTCCACGACTTCAACTATCGTCCCTACCATCTCCAGTTTCTCATTCAGGTCAACCTATAAACACACAGACCTGGGCTCTGATCTAGACTCCAGCTCTGGATTCCAAATGCCTGCCAGACATTCTCCCTGGATTGTTTTGCCAATCCTTAAGTCTCAAGAAGTCTAGAACGATGGAATCACTGATGGTCAGCCCAACCACCTTGCTTTACAGAAGAGGAAACTGTACCAAATACAAGCAAAAAACAGACAGCCTACTTCCTGACTTCCCTGTGTCTAAAAGCACCATCTATCTGGTCACCACACAAAAATGTGGAGTCATCATTTATTCTCCCCTTTCATTCATCCCTCACAGCCAATCAAGGAACTTCCAGTGGATTCCAAAATCAATGTGTCCATTGTCTTGTGTTTTAGTTATATATTGTTTTCCCCCACAGCTTAAATATTTCAGTGCATTTCAGACACGGGTCGGTCTTATGCATTTATATTTAGATAAGCATTGAATTTTTAGGCCTCGATAGCCTGTACTGTTAGAAAGGCAGAACAGCATTGCAGTTAGAGCACAGGCTCCAGTTTCTCTCATTTGTGTATGATTCCTGGTTTTATCCTGTGGCCTTAGGCGGACTTCCTGACCTATAAAATGGTAACAATGGTACCTACATCGTAGAGTTCTTCCAAGAATTATATGTAGGTTGGCCAGTTAACTCAGTTGGTTAGAGCATGGCCTTGTAACACCAAGGTCAAGGGTTGGATCCCTGGCCAGTTGCATTGCCCCCCCCCCCCAAAACAGAAACGTGAACTTGAACTCAGAATGGTCTAGCCTCATAACTTTAGACTACATCATGCTAGGGCCAGCCCGTGGCTCACTCGGGAGAGTGTGGTGCTGATAACACCAAGGCCACGGGTTCGGATCCCTATATAGGGATGGCCGGTTAGCTCACTTGGGAGAGTGTGGTTCTGACAACACCAAGTCAAGGGTTAAGATCCCCTTACCGGTCATCTTTTAAAAAAAAAAAAAAAAAAAAAAAAGACTGCATCATGTTTCCTCTGTCTCTCTGAAGATGTAAATAAATTGGTTCAGTTTCTGCAAGTGTGGTGGCCAAATTATACCTTGGACAATCTTCCAGTGAAAAAAAGTCCCAAACATTGAATAAAACATATCATATTTTTCCAAAAATGCATTGCTAAACTGGCAAAAAAAAAAATAAGGAATTTGCAGAGGCCAAGAAATGAAAAGGGAAATGGAAACATAAATGAGTGCTCAAGACAGCTTCAGACTGAGGGTGTCTGCCAAGACTTGACAACTTGAAGCTTCCATAAGGAATTTGCAGAGGCCAAGAAATGAAAAGGGAAATGGAAACATAAGTGAGTGCTCAAGACAGCTTCAGACTGAGGGTGTCTGCCAAGACTTGACAACTTGAAGCTTCCGGTTTGATGAATACAAGGGCTGAGGAAGACAGGAGATAAGGCTCCTTATACAAGGTATGGAGTCTAATAGAAGGCTCTCCAAAGAGTCCACAAAACTTTACACCCTCCGTGTAAGGGTGAATGAGGAATAAACCCATGGCCCAGAAGGGAAATCAATAAAATTGTTTGCCCAATGCTGACACCAGTTTAGAGAAGAAAAAAATTTTCCCTGAAAATTCCTAACTACAAACCAGCCTTCCAATGAGTCTGCAGTCTGATTCATACTACGTGTACCCTACGTAGTTTGAAAAACCTCAGGCAGAAAATTTAATTTAAGGAGCTCCTGGTAGCAATAAACCCCAGTAACAGGTAAAAGCAAATACAAATTCTCTCTGAAAGACTGCAGTTTCAACCCATGCCTCAAGTGATGCCCACAGAGTTCCAAGAGACTTAAGCCTAAAGTTAAAAATCACAGAAACACAAGAAAACAAGGCACCATGACTGAGAGGAAGCAGAAACAACAGACGGCATCATCCGACCCACAAAAATATGAGATTTATAAATTATCAAGTACAGAATATAAATAGATATATTTAATATATTTCAAGAAATACATGTGAGGCTTAAATACATGAGCCAGGAGCAAAAGACTCTAAAAGAAATCAAGGCAATTTGGAAAAAAATAAATTAAAAACTATGATGGGTTAAACAGCAGAGTAGACACATTTTTTTTCATGGCTAGCTGGTTAGGGGACCCAAACCCTTGACATTGGTGTTATCAGCACCACACTTTAACCAAATGAAATAACCATCCAGCCCTCAACAGATTAGACACTATTAAAGGAAGAATTTGTTTACTGGAAGATGTATCTGCAGAAATCTAGAATGTGACTCAGAGACACTAAGAGATAAAAAATGCAAAAACAACGTATGTGACATTGAAGATAGAATGAGATTTTCTAATATATATTTCGTTGTATTTAAGAAAGGAAAGATAAGAAGGAGGAGATATTTGTAGATCAAGGCAGGAGCTGAAGTGAAATGAGTGAGTTGCCTAGGGCATAAAGTTTAATTTAGATACTCTCAGGGCCAATGTTTGCACAACTTCAAGAATGATCACCTCCTTAAATTTGTGCCTTCGGCACCTCAGTAGTTCCACACTATTGCTGGCCCTGCTGAAAATTTTTCCAAATTGTTGTTAAGATACCATACTCTGGGTCTAGAAATTCCAAGAAAGAAAGAAAAATAAATCACGCCTAGACATAGTGAAACTGCAGAGGGCCTGAGACAAATACAGATCAATTAAAAAGAAACTAAAATTAGACTTACCACAGACTTCTTAGCAGCTACAGTGGAAGCCAGAATTCAGCAGAATGGTATCCTCAGTGTGCTGAAACAACATAACTGGCAACCAAGAATTCTATTCAAGAATTCAAATATGAGGGTGAAATAAAGTCATTTTTTCTTTTTCTAAAAAGATGATCGGTAAGGGGATCTTAACCCTTGACTTGGTGTAGGACCTATGTGCAAACATGTAGGCAGAATGTAAGGAAACTATAGGAATAGTACAGCACCTTAGAACTAGGAAAAAATGGGGTTCCATTTTCGCTTCTAGAACTGAAGGGGCAGGACATGCGTGGGCAGTTACCAGAACACATTCAGGACCTTCCAAGTTATCCCTCACATTGTGGCTTGAATGAGCTTTTAAAAAATGTGAATTAGAGGGCTGGCCCGTGGCTCACTTGGGAGAGTGTGGTGCTGATAACACCAAGGCCATGGGTTCGGATCCCTATATAGGGGTGTCTAGTTAGCTCACTTGGGAGAGTGTGGTGCTGACAACACCAAGTCAAGGGTTAAGATACCCTTACTGGTCATCTTTAAAAAAAAAAAAAATGTGAATTAGTCATAACACCAAGGTCAAGGTTTTGGATCCCCACCCCAGCCAGCACCCCCCCCCCCAAAAAAAAGATTTAAAAAATGAATTAGATCTTGTCACCTCTCTCCCCCCACACTCACACACCCATCCACAGTTTCAAGCCCATTTAATTGCATCTCATAGTTCTTGAGGATAAAATTGCATATGCTTGACTAGCCTCAAAAGCCCTTTGTGATCTGTCACCAACACCCTCCCTTCCCCAAGGCAACTCCCATCTCCTGCCTCCCCCACCAATATCTCTGGCTTTTTCAGGGACCAGGACCCATCTCATTCTCAGCCCATTAGTCACACTGGCTTTTTCTCATTTCCTTGGATTCACCACACACCTTCCAACCTCAGGACCTTTGAATATGCTATTGTCTGCCTGGAAAACCTCTCACTTCACTCTCCAAACCCACTAATACCACTTCTCCTTTAGCTCTGAGCTGAGAGAAAATTTAATTTAAGGAGCTCCTGGTAGCAATAAACCCCAGTAACAGGTAAAAGCAAATACAAATTCTCTCTGAAAGACTGCAGTTTCAACCCATGCCTCAAGTGATGCCCACAGAGTTCCAAGAGACTTAAGCCTAAAGTTAAAAATCACAGAAACACAAGAAAACAAGGCACCATGACTGAGAGGAAGCAGAAACAACAGACGGCATCATCCGACCCACAAAAATATGAGATTTATAAATTATCAAGTACAGAATATAAATAGATATATTTAATATATTTCAAGAAATACATGTGAGGCTTAAATACATGAGCCAGGAGCAAAAGACTCTAAAAGAAATCAAGGCAATTTGGAAAAAAATAAATTAAAAACTATGATGGGTTAAACAGCAGAGTAGACACATTTTTTTTCATGGCTAGCTGGTTAGGGGACCCAAACCCTTGACATTGGTGTTATCAGCACCACACTTTAACCAAATGAAATAACCATCCAGCCCTCAACAGATTAGACACTATTAAAGGCAGAATTTGTTTACTGGAAGATGGATCTGCAGAAATCTAGAATGTGACTCAGAGACACTAAGAGATAAAAAATGCAAAAACAACGTATGTGACATTGAAGATAGAATGAGATTTTCTAATATATATTTCGTTGTATTTAAGAAAGGAAAGATAAGAAGGAGGAGATATTTGTAGATCAAGGCAGGAGCTGAAGTGAAATGAGTGAGTTGCCTAGGGCATAAAGTTTAATTTAGATACTCTCAGGGCCAATGTTTGCACAACTTCAAGAATGATCACCTCCTTAAATTTGTGCCTTCGGCACCTCAGTAGTTCCACACTATTGCTGGCCCTGCTGAAAATTTTTCCAA